AGAGAGAGACCATTCTGGAATATTTTACCTTAGATGCCAGGATATAACATGGCTGCCCATAGCACTGTGACACGGCAGAGGACTTGTCTCAGACTGCAAATTGCATTGGGACAGTTCAGCCTGGGCACAATGGACACAGGAAAGAGAGGTTCTGGCCTCGTTGTTGTGTGCCTTTATAAGTTTCTGACTTCTGATGACGCTAAGGCAACCCTATCATGGGGTTTTCTTGGTAAATTTCTTCAGAGGGATTTCCATTGCCATCCTCAGAGGCTGAGAAAGTATGACTTGTCCAAGGTCACTTAAAAAGTTTCATGGCTCAGCAGGGATTTGAACCCTGGGCTCCAGAGATGTAGTCCAACACTCAAACCACTATGCCACATAGGTTCTCTTTGGATTGTTAATATTCCTGCCCAAATGTTGAAGATAAGAAATCAGATCATCCCCAGCAGTCTCCAAATGAGCATTTCCACACAGGAAATAGCTTGCATTCTTTGACCCAAAGTATGCTTGCAAAGGATTACAAGAGACGTAGTGGTGCAATAATTGCAGGGGGGCAGTGAGGGGCAGGGGAATGGAGTCTCTTGAAGCCCCACTCATCCTTTTTAACCATCCATTAGTCACCACTCATGATCTGTGGCTATAGCATTCTTTAAAGGAACAGTTTAATTCAAGCATCTCATCCATCAAACTTTTTGAAAAACAAAAACTAATGTGACATTGTATGTTTAGGAAGGATGAAGCAATATTCAGTTGGGAATCTACAAAAGTCTTAACACAAGTGGAACCAGGATTTGGCTTGGGAAATCTGTACAACAGAATGGTTGGTGCTACTGGCAAAGCCCCCCTAGAAGTCCCTATTCTCTAAAATGAGTGGGAAATTTAACAGCGAATGAGAGAACAATTTTACAGTTCCAATGGGCTTTACTGCCTCTCTAAGCAAAACATCAAAAACAAAAGCTGGAAAATAAGCAGAATAAGTAAAAATAAAGTAAAATAGAGACACAACTTCTAGTTTTAAGTTTGGAGTTTGCCATCGGCGAAAGGGCTGGAACCTGTTTAAGGGCAACAGTGGCACACTCTTAGGGCCTTTGCAGACTGCCAGAAATAGTGCCCATTAAATTGAGGCACTGCCCTGGCTCAGTGCTAGGGAATCATGGGAATTGTATTTTTTTCTGAGACATTGAGCCTTCTCTGTCAGAGAGCTCTGGTGCCACAATAAATTACAGTTCCCATGATTCCCTAGCACTGAGCCAGGGCAGTGCCTCAATTTAATGTGCACTATTTCTGGCAGTCTGCAAAGGTCACTTCTGGGGGCAGAAGAATCCTTTTGGGGCCATTTGTAGGCCATCAAGTTAAGAGGTACAAAACCAGCCTTAAGGGTTGCATTACAGTTGGGAGTCTGAAAACTGGAGAGGGCTCCTGACCCTTTGATGGTTGTGTATAAAAGGGAAGGTCAGCAGGTGTTGCTTGTCACACAACCAGATAACAAGTAATATTTGCTTTAATTCCAGCCATTAAAAGTACAGGAGCCCTTTTCTGTTTTCACTCTGACAACCCTAGGCTGCCTGCTGTTTATGAGCCTTGTTATCATGGTTGTATGCCTTCAAGTCAGCTTACACTGACCCTATCTGAGGGTTTTCTTGGTAAGATTTCTGCAGAAGAGGTTCAAGGCCACCCTATGGGTTTCCATAGCCAAGTGGGGATTTGAATCCTGGTGTCCCGGATAACACAAAGCTAGTAAAGGGCAATTCTCCTGTTGCTGCTTTGCATTTCAGTGGCTGGTGGAGAACACCTTTTCATTGATGTTTTTTTTCAAGCAAAGAGCATCACCTGCTCAAATTTCCTTTTCTACACAACCATTAAAGTTAGAGGAGTCCTTTCCAGTTTTTACCCTGGCAACCTTAGATTCTGAGGACATGCAGAAACTTTCTTTTAACCAAGCTGATTGAGCACCTTTTGTTGATTTATTTATTGTTATCACCATATGGGAATCCTTTTGGTCTGTGCAGGGATGCAGCTTCAGAGTACCCAAAATGCTCCCCAAATAAGAATCCTACCTCCATGAAATATTCTTTCAGCCCCAAATTTCTAGCATTGCAGAGCTGGAGACACTGAAAATCCTTCACACTCAGAATTCCTATATTTGCTGTGCTCCCTTGGTCCCCTTGCTTACCTCTTTTTTCGGATGCCCAGACTGCATTTCTAGATACTTAACTGCAGTTTTAAGTTACTGCGATGCTAGAAATTCGAAGATGAAAATTTTGGGGAGAGGGCAGAATTCTTTATTCAGCAATCACTTCTCTCCCCCCATAGTTACCCCTTAGATCTGTTCTACTGTGACAGTAGTGTATACAGAGAAGACAGCTTTATTCCTCCTCAATGAGCCATTCTGTGTAGCACCCGGCATATTATGCAAGAAAAGGCTCTGTGAGCCATTTCCCTAATCAGGTGAAGAAATTCCATAATGAGCTCAATCATAATCATTTTCTGTAAGCCTCGCGTGATGAGAAAAGAGGCGATTCCAGAAGAGCCTTATGTAATGAACAAGCAATCAGATCAGACTAGGATTATAGCCTGGAGAACTCTATGTGGGCTAATTATTCTTCCTTGGGGACAGTGCTTCTAGTCAAAAGTGGTCTAATTACAGTGGGCTTATTAGACATCATTAGCCATGATTTCCCTCTGAAAATGTTTCAGCAGGGGAAGTACAATCCTTGGTGGCTTGACTTGCTGCACCAGGGCTCTCTATTTGATGACAAAGCAGAACTGGGCATAGAAGGATAGGAAATTACCTATTATCCAGCCAACCCAGTAATTTGTCTCGCTCATTTTGTTTACACCGGCTTGGCCCTTTAACACTGTGCAATTATACTGCTACCATTTCACTTTAACTGCCACAGCTCCATTATATAGAATCCAGGGATTTGCAGTTTAGGGAAGGGCTTTTAGAATTCTCAGCCAGAGAGCTTTAGTGTCTCACCAAACCACTCCAGATATTGTAGGCTGTAGCCATGGCCAGTAAAGTGGAATCATAGTGCTGTAATAACTGTGTAATAAGGGTTTTGGACATGAATCCTACCCCATCCTATCCAAAGATACTAGAGACTGAACTATGGACTACCATCACCTAAAGCATTGGCTATACTGGGAATTCAGGGAGTTGTAGTCCAAAAAGTAATTTTCCCAAGCCAATGCTCTGCCATTTTGGTATGGCTGTTTGTTATGGCCCTTCTCTGTTAAATGAACTTTATCTATTCTTCATTGAGAATATGCAGGTTGTTGATTGATACTGAAGAGCAGTGGCTGCCAACTATACCACATGTACAAGGAGCTGGATCCAGGATAATTGAGATAGTTTTTCTTCCATTCTGCCATGGACTAATAGTCTTGGGCAAGCCATGAGTTGTTGTGTTCCATCCCTGCCATAATCAATAAAACAGGTCAGAGTTCTTATTTGGAAGAAAATACCCTCATTTTGCACCTCCCATTGCTACAGCTATATCCTTTCTTTCTTTCTTTCTTTCTTTCTTTCTTTCTTTCTTTCTTTCTTTCTTTCAACAAAGGACACTTCTTGGGATCACAAAGTCCCAGTCCAGTAAAATAATTTGGTTTTTCTTCAAGGTGTTTTAATGTTTCATGGATGTATATTAGGATATAAAAATGCAAACTAAAAGAATCAACTCTAGAAATTCATATTGAAAAAAATGAAAATGATTCTATATGTACAAAATGACAACATTAATATTTTTCCAGGAATGTTTCTTGACAATTCTGTTTCAAAAATTATATTCTAACAGGATCTAAGTGGAAAACCATATCCCATTTAGTACAGTGGGACCTTGGTATCCACAGGGATCTGTTCTGGAAATTCCCCCCTTCCACAGATACCCAAATGCATGGGACCTCAAGTCCCATTGTCCCCAATGGTGGCATGTGCACATGGCCACACCGCCATTAGGGTCAATGGGACTTCAGGTGAAGTCCTGTTGTCCCTAATGGTGGCATGGCTGTGTGCATGTACCACCACTGGGGACAACGAGGGCTGTCCCTAATGGCAGTGCAGCCATATGCATGCACCACCATTAGGGACAACAAGGGCTTGCTGTCCTCGTATGCTTAAATTCACAGATGGCAAGTCCGCAGGTATTGAGGTCCCACTGTACTCATGTTGGGGTCAGTGTACTCTTCGCTGCTCTGGGCTTTGTATGGACAAAGGGAACAGGAGAAGTGTTACACCTTCTTTGCAGGCATATTTAGGGCAGCTTTCACTAGTTTCCAACATTGGTCCTCCAGATGTTTTGGATTTCATTTCCCAGAATTCATGATGGCCAAACTGGCTAGAGCTTCTGCAAGTTGAAGTCAATTCAAAAACACTGGGAGGACCAAAGTTTGCCCTTAATAATACTTAAGCCTGAGCAAACAGACGTAGAAGTGGGTTTCTCATAGTCTAATCAGCAGGCTTATTGGTATACTAGGCTTTCTCACTAATCTAATGTGTATGGAGAAAAGAGCCTTTATAAAGATTTAATCTCTCTAAACCTGCATATTACATGTTTGTTCCTGCACAAAACAAGGTATGGAAGATTTCATGGATAGGTAAATGCTATGTGGGAAAATAATAATTACTGACAGGCAACCCAGATGTTTATCATTGAGAGGCATAGAGTGTCACTTACACTTCCTTGCATACCTAAGAAGGCAGCCTAATGCAAAATATACATTGACATGTATGAAAGGCACATTTTAGAGCTGTAGTCCCAGGGTCCCACAAATGGATGCATACACCTTAAAGAGCTTAAAATATTATAAAGCTTGTTCAAATATCTTAAATGGTTCTTGCTGGATCAAATGATTGACTTCTAAAGTTAAAAATCTAGACAAAGACTATTTGATTTTCAACAAACTTCGTTTCTTTGGTTTTTATGGGATCAAAATAATTGCTACAACCAAATTTGAGATTGTTCAACTTGCAAATTATTCTTTCAGAGATGGTTTATGTCTGAATTTGTTTTAATTGGGTAGGTCTTGTCTCATTCCTACTGCAAGTTTGCATGTGACCTCCATATTAAAAGATGGCAGATTTTCATTCAGCATAGTATTCATTGGGACCTATCTAGTGATCATATTCACATTAGATACAGATTAATATCCTGCACATTTATGGAACTTTGTTAATTTTTTCTGTCCTTCTCAGATGTACAACATTCCTTGAAAATCTCTGGGGGAAGAGGTTGCATAATAGGTAGTCAGACCACTCCTTTACTGGAACAAGAGTTCTGAAATGTTGACACTATACTCTGGAATGCTTTGTGTACAATCATTCTTGAGGGAATACAATGCTTTTCTGCTGCACATGGGTTGAGTGAAGAGCACAGACTAGTATG